TTAAATGCAGCACGATCCTGGGTGTAATGACTACTGTCGTCACAGCTGTTTGTGCACAATAAGCATCTTTATGATTTCAGTTGCTGGTGGTATCTGGTTTCTGTTGCATTGAGGTGTGGGGTGAAGTGGGTCACCCCTGAGGAGTGTGAAGAGAGAGGGAAGGAAGAGAGTGGCTCCCCCCCCCGTGCATCATGGGGAGCGTGAGGGATGGGCCGGCCCGGCTGGGTGCTCCACCAGCAGTGAGGAGTGCAAAGGGCCTTTGTCTGACGTTCTTCTCGGCAAATGCAGATGTTCTTGGAGACGTATTAACACGAGTTCTGTGTGTTCGAGGACATGGAAACACTCCTGGCTGTGGCTGCGCCTGGGTACAAGACCCGAGGGTGGGTCAGCGTCCACCTGCCCCCGAGGCTGGCTGCCAGGCGTGCGGCGCTGGAGGAGCCGGTTTGGGACCTCCCTGCACAGCATCTGGGGGGAGGCCCTACGCACCCACGCCGCCTGCCGGCCCCGGGGGTCGGCAGCCTGGGGCGTCACGGACGTTTGTGAAATACAGCTGACGCTGATTTCACGCTATTCGATTACAGGGCTGACTTCTGTAGAGACGTGGGCATGCTCTTCTGCCGTGTCTTGATTGTAGCTTTCTGGGTTGGTCTGGATCATCTCAACTTATTGTTTTCTTTTTTTCTTTTTTTTTTTTAGACAGAGTCTCACCTGTTGCCCGGGCTAAGTGCCGTGGCGTCAGCCTAGCTCACAGCAACCTCAAACCCTGGCTCAACGATCCTCCTGCCTCAGCCTCCCAGTAGCTGGACTACAGGCATGCGCCACCGGATGCCTGGCTAATTTTTTCTATATATTTTTAGTTGGCCAATTAGTTTCTTTCTATTTTTTTTTTTTTCCAGTAAAGACGGGGTCTCACTGTTGCTCAGGCTGGTTTGGAACTCCTGACCTTGAGCAAACCTCCCGCCTCGGCCTCCCAGAGTGCTAGGATTACAAGTGTGAGCCACCACGCCTGGCTGTCAACTTGTTTCTTATCACGCCTGGGGGTGGGATGCTTTCTCCAGGGTGGCGGTGCTGTAAAGATAAAATGTTGCAAGACCCAACACCCCAGCTAACACGTGTGTGAATGGGGGGTCAAACCTCGAATGAAGAAGGGAGCTTCAAGCATGAGGGAGTCTCTAAAACCCAGGCCGTAGCTTTGTGGTTGATGATAGTCATTAACAACAGAGCATCAGTACAGAGCAAGTCCGCACCGGGGCTCGCTCAGATCCTCCCGTGAGGACATCCGTATACATCACTAAGCTCCATCGTCCAGGTCTGGATGAACCGAGGCTGGGGCCTGTCCTCTGCCCCTGCTCAGGGGCGGCATGCTGTCTTGGTTTTTTGTGGTAGTGAGCAAGACTTGGATGGTGTTGGCCTCTGACCCGGCCTGTGCTTCGTTCCAGCGTTAGGAGCTTCCAGCCAGGGCAGGGACGTCCGGTGCTGTGCGGAGGGGTCGGCAGGCAGGATGGCGGCACCCACTTTGGGGAGGGAGGGCCAGAGGCTCAGCTCTACGGTGAGGCCGTTGGTCCCGTTGGGTGTCGCCTTCCAGACAGTCCAAGTCCACTGCCCGCCTCTACCGGGGCTTCCCAGACGTTCCCATTCTTCATGCTCCCGCCTTCCGATTGCTTTCTTCTTAGCTCACAGAGCAGCACACGCTTTCCACCGCGAGAGTCACCTGTCTGTCCTCTGGCTTCTGTCATTGGGCTTCTACCTTCAGACGCATCCATCTCTGCAGAGCCCTTATCCCGCCCGCGTGCGCTAGGAGGTTCCTGATGTCCCAGGGGTTCCCGGTCATTTTCAAAGCTCGTTCTTGTGGCACAAACTGGGCACGAGAACCCCGTGGGATTCTGTTGACGCCTTTGACTCGAGAGAAAATCGAGGTCGAGGTGCCAGGTGAGGGAAGCTGCACCTGGAGTCAGTCGATGCCGTCACCTGTACCGTGAGGGCTAAAGCTTCAAAGTCACCCAAGCGGGTGTGCCCTGAACTCGGCGGCGTGTGACCAGCACGGAGGGCCTGGCTCGTGGGAATGCGTGGCAGCGACAGGAGCGGGTGGCAGGTGCAGGGTGTGGGCGAGACACGCCCAGAGGGAAGGTGTCGCACGGGTCACCTGTCGTGGCTTTGTGGGGTGGGGGGCAATCGCCCGTCTTTAACGTTGCCTCCTTTATTCCCTCCCAGGCTGCACGGTCTGCTCTTTTTTTTTTTTTTAGTTTTTACTTTTAAGAAATTATGATTTATTTTCAAATGTTTGTTTCCCTTGGCGTTTAATGCATTCCGTTGTCATGAGCCCCACCCAACACGCCCGTGGGCAGGGCTGGCTCGGGGGGGAAAGGAGGCACGTTCACGGCCCACCACGCGAGCTCCCGTCCTCCCAGTGGTGAATTTTCACGCTGGCTTTTACTTCTCAGTCCAGAGTTGGCGTACCTCAGCGTGAATGAAGGAAACAATTTTTTAGCACTTACAGTCCCTGCAAAAAGTGGCACGTGGATGTTAAAACATTGACGTCCAAATTCTACCTGATTTGAGAACTACGTTTCCTACAAAAGCAATGTCCGCTGCCAGAGACAGGATTGCATTGCATTGATTTTCGTAAATACTTTGAAAAGGCAGACACATGCCTGCAGTTGCAGGACCCGTTTGGCCCAGGACCCTCACCCTTGATTCCCTTTTTGAGGAAAGAGTGTGGCATTCACTCTGCACGTGGCTGACTCTGCGTCCGTGGCGTGGGGTGCTGTGCCCGTGCGCAGGTGCCCGGCGGGCTGGGCACATCCAGGTCTGCAGGTGTGAGGCCTGAGAACCGTGCATGGGCGGAAACCACAGAACGCTGGGTCCACTTCTGACTCAACTGAAATTCACTTAT